ATTTGAATGCTTGGCCAAAGAGATGTATCTTTAATCTAGATTTAAACAGAGAGAGTGTGTCTGAAACCCGAACGTTATCAGGAAGGCTATTCCAGAGTTTGGGAGCCAAATGCGAAAAAGCTTTTGCGACCTTAGGGAGCGTGATGGATTTTAGCGTGGTAGAAGCCTAGTTAGGTACGCAGGAACCAACCCATTAAGGGCCTTATAGGTAAGTAATAATATTTTGTAACTGATGCGGAACTTAATAGGTAGCCAGTGCAGAGACTGTAATATTGGGGTAATACAGTGGGGCAAAAAAGTATTGACAGCCCCACAACATTACTGCTCTAGAGGAGATCTGGATGGAGGAATGGGCCAAAATACCAGCAACAGTGTGTGACAACCTTGTGAAGACTTACAGAAAACGTTTGACCTCTGTCATTGCCAACAAAGGGTATATAACAAAGTATTGAGATGAAATTTTGTTATTGACCAAATACTTATTTTCCACCATAATTTGCAAATAAATTCTTTAAAAATCCTACAATGTGATTTTCTGGATTTTTTTTCTCATTTTGTCTCTCATAGTTGAGGTATACCTATGATGAAATTTACAGGCCTCTCTCATCTTTTTAAGTGGGAGAACTTGCACAATTGGTGGCTGACTAAATACTTTTTTTCCCCCACTGTATGATCATATTTTCTTGACCTGGTAGGGACTCTAGCCGCTGCATTTTGGACTACCTGTAGCTTGTTTATTGAAGATGCAGGACAACCACCTAGCAGTGCATTACAATAGTCGAGTCTAGAGGTCATGAATGCATGAACTAGCTTTTCAGCATCAGAAACAGCTAACATGTTTTGTAGCTTGGCAATGTTTCTAAGATGGAAGAATGTTGTTTTTGTAACATGGGAAATATGATTTTCAAAAGACAAGTTGCTGTCAAATATAACACCCAGATTTTTGACTGTAGAGGAAGTAAAAGTACATCAGTCTAGTAGCAAATTGTAATCCAAGAGATTATGTACTGTTTTTTGGTCCAATAAATAATATCTCTGCCTTATCCAAATTTAATAGGAGAACATTATTGGTCTCTGTAATGAGTAGTCCACTGAAGGCGAGTTGAAGATGAACCCAAGTGCAGTTTATTTACAAAGTGATCCAAACATCCAAACAAAGACTTGTCTTGACTCGAACAGACTTGACTCGAACAGACTTGACTGACCGACAGCAGGTACATACATTTATACACGACAAAGAACAGTGGGAACATGAGGGCTATTTGTAGCAAACACTATGGGTCACATGACAAGTATCAACCAATGAGCAAACAGAACTGAGAACCACATGACAGGACAATAACCAATGGGGAACAAGACACATAACTATGACAACCAATCAGACCTTGACATATACACAGGGCAGAAATACATGAGGGCAAGGGAAGCATGACACCAACAGCATGAATCAAATTACAAAAATAAAAGACATGAAAACAAGAACATGAAACAAACCCAAAACAGATATTACAGTCATCCAATCTTTTACATTTTTAACACACTCTGTTAGCTTGGATAATTTAGAAGTTTAATCTGGTCTTGTTGAGATATATAGGTGAGTATCATCAGCATAACAGTGGAAACTAATCCCGTATTTTCTAATGATATTACCAAGGGGCAACATGTATATTGAAAATAGCAGAGGACCTAAGACAGATCCTTGTGGCTCTCCATACTTTACTGGTGATAATTGAGATGATTCCCCGTTTAAATAAACAAAGTGGTAGCGATCGGACGGGTAGGATCTAAACCATCTTAAAGCCTGTCCTTGAATACCTGTATAGTTTTGTAATCGATCTATGAGTATGCCATCATCTATGGTGTCAAACGCAGCACTAAAATACTGTCTGTCTGTCTGTCTATTTATCTGACTGCCTGTCTGTCTGTCTGACAGGCAGCCCCATGTCTTTGGAATAGTCTCCCATTGCACATTAGATCATGTGACTCATTTTACTGTTTTAAATCAGTGTTGAAAACACACCTTTACTCTGTGGCATACAGTTGTCCCTATCTTTTGGGACATTGATCAGTGATGGATATTGTGTGTATTGTGTTTGTTTGAGTAATTTTTAGACATGTAAAGCACTTTGGTCAACTTGTGTTGTTTTAAATGCGCTATATAAATAAATGTTGATTGATTGATTGATTGATCGATTGTCTGTCTATCTGTCTGACTGTCTGTCTGTCTGTCTGTCTGTCTGTCTGTCTGTCTGTCTGTCTATCTATCTGACTGGGTGTCTGTCTGTCGTCAGTTGGAGTGGTGGAGGGCGTAGGTTGGTTTGGGGGGGCTGCAGGTCATTACGAGCACAATAACACAGACAGTCATAGAGACACGGAGCGAAGGAGGAGGTGGAGGAAAGGAGTGAGGGACAGAGAGAGAATTGAGGAAGGAAAACGAGAGGAATTGTGTCAAGAATAATGATGGGCCAATTGAGAGCGCCTGCGGTCAGATCCCTGTATTTCTGACTGTTCCCGTGCTCGGCAGGGGCTCTCATTGTCTCCCGTAGAGATCACAACTGCACACACACATATACACACACACTGAAACATCAGCTATGTCCGGCTAAGTAGGCACAATGGTCATTTGTTCCATGTCTTGTATTTAATGTGTGTGTGTAATCAAATCTGTTGTACCTTTCCAATCTGTTTATAGTTTGTGTTATCAAGAATTTTTTATTCTGCAGAACACACAATTTTGATATATATTTTCAATATTATCTTCAAACTGTCTGTTTACATACGCCAGAAGTATACAATGACTACAGGCTGTCAAAACGTATAATGAAAGTAGTCCATAAAACAGTTATATTTCAAGCCTTCTGAAGCCATACAGGTTTGTGTGAACACCAAAATTTAAGTTTGATTCAGTTCAATTTACATTTATTTGTAAAGCACTTTTCACAATATTTATTGTGCTTTACAGAAAATGTTTCAAATGTTACAATCAAGAAGCCAGAAATGACTGTATCAAGTAATTATTCTTTTAAAAAAAATGTATTTCAGTTGCCATTTCAAGCTAATTTGATGTCACCAAACACCCTTGGTTTTACATAATGCACAACCAAACATGATGGTGGACAGAGAGCAAGATTTACATTGTAAAACTCACTCAAATAACAATCCGTTGCTCACTCAAAGCTATCATATTGCTTCAGAAGACTTAAATATATTACCACACAATCATATGGACTACTTTCATCTACATGTGTCAAAACAGCAGCTGAGACATTGTGCACAACATCTCCTTCTGTGCTCCACACAAGAAAGAAAGTGCTCCACACAAGAAAGAAAGTCCTACAAGTTTTAGATTTCCGTTTTTTGAGTGAACTGCCCCTTTAATAACCTATAAAGACTTTAATAATAAGGCAGTCCACTTTTGAGAATGACCATGTGGTGGCTATCTAGCACATCTCTAATGTGTTGTTTTGTACTTCCTCAGGTTCCTTGTCTTAAAGAGCCCAATCAAGCCACAGTGTTTAGATTGGCTTTCATTTCCCCTGCGAATTGCCTCCCACACGCCATAATCCCGTTATGTAAAGATAAATTACTAATATAGCCTCATAGATCCCACATCTATTAAAATGCACTCTCAGCTGTTGTTCATAGAAGAGGCTAAATACATGATTCCAGTGTTTAAAGCTGCAGAACATAAACCACAGCTCATATTTCCATGTGTAAATTTTTTTTATTTTATTATGTTTTATTAATACAGAGGAGAACATTTAGAGCTGCTGCTCCTTGGTGTGTCCTCTGAGTGTTTAACAGCTTTTATGGTAATAAAAAAGAATGATAAACAACTTCCAGCAGCAAAAAAAGTTGCTATATTAAGAATAATTCATGGTGTGGCCTCAACTGCAAGCACTGTAAAGGCGAATTCACACAGAGGCCAAATATTCAGCATGGATGGATCTATGAAACTATTCATACTGGAGATGAAATTTTGCCTGATTATGGAAGGTTTTTCAAATTTACTCTCATTGTGAATAGACCTTTTGTCTGAGCTTTGTCACTGAACCGTTTCGTACTTGTTGTGAACAGGTCTTAATGCTGTGTCTAAATACTCATCCCCTAATCTTTATTTTTCAACTTAATGGTCTGATGATTGCGGTTCACATCTCCATTGCCAGACTGCAGTGGCTGACCACAGGTTTACACTGCGTGTTTTACGCCTGTGCCAAAGCATGCATGTTTGCGGAAACCTAATCCACCTTGACTCATTGTGATGTGAGTCACTGGTCAGCGAGTTCAGAGAGAAGTCCAGTACTTTACAAAATCCTCCAAATTTTATTCCGATTTCTGACAGTTTGAGTGAACACGGAGGACTCTAATTGGTGCGGTCTGATCTGTTAAGGACATGAACAAGCCAATCAAAGGGTTAGATGACTGGCCCCGTTTAATTTGTTCCATTTGATTGGTTAAAGTCATTAACTAGCCTACCAGATGACGAGGTAGACCGAGGAAGGATATGCTAGAGGGCAGGATGTGGCAGCGCTAATGAACCCGCTACATCAGACTAATACTCATGTAAGTGTCAGAGGGCACTTCTCTGAGTCTGCGCTCCAATACAGGAACAAGTTAAAGGTGGTCATCTCACTAATGGGTGTCATCACCACATGCAATCCAGAAAAGTTTCCCTGACTAAAAGCACTGAACTTTAGAAAACTGTTTAGCCTAGGGACATCAATTTAGGGGACTTATGCAAACTAATCTAATGTTGAAGTTTGTTCAAAGAAGCAATATGTGACACACTCTATAATTTTGGCAGATATCACGGTGAGCTGTTTGTGGAGAAATGTGATTATAAGCAAGAAAAACTAGAATTTTGACTGTTATTTTTGATGAATTTGTAGCCTTCATATTGCCCAGTTTATTACAAAATTCAAACAATAAATTTTGTTTTGTCACTCTTTAATATGGCGTGACAGATTGCTGCATTGCTGAAAGTCATTCAATATCCATAGCTTATTAGATATATATATGTGTGTGTGTGTGTGTGTATGTGTGTAATCAAAATACAGTAAAACAGTAATATTGGGAAATATTATTATAATTATTATATTAAAAAAACATACTGACCCCAGACATTTGATCGGTAGTGTATGTTAGAATAAATCTCCTACACTCCTAAAAAAAAGTCTGAAAAAGAGGCCATGATGTTGAAATAATCATTGAATTATTACATATTTAATTATTTTATAAAATTTTCTTGAAATAAATATATTTGAGTCAAAATGACTCAAAATGATGGAGGTGGTCACATATATGGAGTGTCTTTATATATCTGTTGAATTGATCAAATTTTTCTCTGTTTTGCAGGTGCTGGAAACAACACACATCCCAGAATTCCCCCTAGAGGTCCTGGTGGAGAAAACGGCCCTCTCCCCCCCTCCAACATCGCTGTTATCGCAGGTGCAGCAGGCGGTTCAGCTTTCCTACTGCTCGTAACTGCTGTGATCTGCGTGGTGTGCTACCGACGACGACACGCCAAGCATTCTGAATCACACCACCCTCCCCTTTCCCTCTCCTCCCTGACCTCGCCCAAACGGGGCTGTGTCGGGGGTGTAGGAGGCGGCAACAACAACGGCTCGGAGCCTAGCGACATCATCATCCCGTTGCGGACTTCTGACTCCGCCTACTGCCCGCACTATGAGAAAGTGAGTGGGGATTACGGCCATCCGGTCTACATCGTACAGGAGATGCCCCCTCAAAGTCCCGCCAACATCTACTATAAAGTATGAGAACCGGAGACAACCTTACCGACAACATCTGCTAAGACCACACCACACCGACCTTAAACAACGACCTAAATCCCACCCCCACAGTCTGCACCCCAATAGATCAGATCCTTTTACCTTCACACGCATTTCTCCGACACACTGACCATTCATGGTCGAGTGTGTCTGTGTGTGTGTGTGTGTTACCATTCTTCGCAAACTCACCCAACTTCGGCCTTTTGTTGGAGAGAGAATGTCCTGATGTGAGGGCCTCCCTCTCTCTGACATCCCACATGGGGAAAAATTCTTAAAGCTAGAGAAGACCTCCTGGAGTGAATCAGTCCACTGAAAAAAACATGAACTCCTTTTTTGGGGGGGCATTCTGGAGCACAAGCATCAAAACTTTTTCTGATGTACTTGAAAAACTGAAACTATACACACACAAAAAAAGAAAAGAAAACTCAACCCGTCCAAACCTACAAAGACAACTTTGACTTCGAATGCTACATTTACTCACAAATAGCAGTCTAGTTTGTGTTAAACTCCTTCGAAAGGGGGAGGGGCCATTGATTCATCCAGTCGTCACACGGGGCTGCAGTCACGTGATCTAGGACCCATGTGTTTGATTGGTGGAGTTGTAGTGGCGTGGAGAATCCTGTATATTTTAATAACGTGTGTATTTTGTGAGTGTGTAGGATAAATATTCCGACACTACTGTCGCACACGTTGTGACCGGCGTGCTTCAGTACAACTTGCGAGTGTTTTTGTGTATGGATGAGTGTGTGTTTGAGTAAACTGTTAGCGTGAGCATGGGAGCGTGTGTTTGTTAGACTGTTTTAAAACCAAAACACAAAAATATGAGCGAACATCAAAAAAGGTTTTTTATCGCTTTCAACACATAGATTATAATTATATATATCTAGAAACAATTTTTAGATTTTCTTTTCATGTAAAGTTACAGTTTGCTAGGCCTAATTTTTGTTTTCCTATTTTTTTATGACATGCTGACCTTGTTTCTTCCCCTTTTTGAGTGGTAAATTAATTTAATGCTTTCAGAAACAGAGTGTGTTTGGTTCCCCCTCATTTTCCTCTTTCCCAGGAGTCTCCTCCGCTCTACACATATATTTTTTATAGCTCCTTGTACTCTGATGTAGTTTTGAAGCTAGACCTCGTTTGTGAATGTGTTGAGGTAGAACAATCCGAGAAAGTTTTTTTTATTATTATTTTTAAAGACGCTTGGAAAAAAAGGGGAAAAATCCAGAAAGGAGGGAAGAATTGGATGGGGGTGAAATAAAAAGAAAAGAATGCGAACACCGCCTGTTGGGAAAGCAAACGCACGAGCGAGGAAACTTCAAGTAAGACTGTGAAACTATGGAAGAATCACACATTAAAAGAAAAAAAAATAGGGGAGGGGGAGGTGGGGGGAGAGAAGGAAAGTCGAAAGCTGATTGAAGGAGAAGAGAGAGAGGGATGGAAAGGTTTTCAATAAACTCGTCTGAAGCTGTGGAAGAGGCAGATTTGGGCCCAATGGTCTTCTGAGGTACAAAGAGACAGATGAGGGGAAGAAAGAAACTCATTCTCTCAGATGGACAACAGGATAGATGGACACAGAATTACTCTTTAAAGACACACACTGCTCTTTTTTGTTCACATGAAGTGAAGTGGAAATATTTCTAGTCTCATTTCAGATTCTTGAGTATCGGACACGTCTCAATTTAATAGACATGTTCACACACACAGACGGAGAATGACTTAATGGCCATGGCACACAGAAAAGCTCTTGTAGAGATTTTCATCACACACACACACACACACACACACATGCACAGCTCCAAAACACAATCAAAAGCCATTCTGATTGGGCATATATGCTGGTTACCTCAACAAATGCCATGATTAGCGTTGTTTTGTCACATTCTCTTTCTCTCCTCTCTCTCTCTCTTTCACTCTCTTACAAACACACACACACACATACACACACACACACACAGGTTTGTTTTTGTGAAAAGTGGGGACATCCCATAGGCATAATGGTTTTTATACTGTACAGACCGTATATTCTATTGCCCTACACCAACCCTACCCCTAAACCTACCCCTTACAGGAAACTTTGTGCTATTTCAGATTTTCAATACACTCCATTCTGTGTGATTTATAAGCGTTTTGAAAAGTGGGGACATGGGGTAATGTCCTGAAAAGTCACCTTCTCCTTGTAAAACCTATGTCATACCTTTGTCATTATACAAATGTATGTCCTCATTTGTCACAAAACTGCGCACACACACACGCACACACACACACACACACACACACACACACACACACACACACACACACACACACATTCAATCATGCAGCCTTGTAACTAGCTGTGTGTGTGTGTGTATCTCTGTTAGTGCCAATGAAAACCTTTCTTTTAGGCCTGAAATATATTCTATACAAGTATGTGATCGTAAATGCTTGTGTCAGAACTCAGTTGCATTCTCAGCACATATTAGCATAAACTGTCATCTTGTATGGTCAGTTTTTTCTGACATGGCAGATCAACAGTTTGGGAAAGAATCTTACAAAGCTAGTTAGCTGCTGTTAGTCAATGGCTGAATTTGGAGTAGGATACTACTTTTAAAATGTCTGTCATATAGTATGTACTATTTCTAACTTATGCTGTTTTGAAATGTTAGCTAAAGCTATTCAAAGGTTGAATTTAAAACGGCATACTAATAAACTAGTATACTATTACGAATACAGCCTTTGACTAGCTTTAGCTAATTAGCAGAGGAAAATTAGCTAAATGGCAGAAATAGTAATTACAGAGCTCCATACATGACATGTGGGGGAAAAACAAGATATTATTGCCACAAATGAAAAATTCGTTCCCACAAGTTCTTAATTTGTGGCCTGGTTTCATTAGTTCACTCTGTTGTTTTAGTGAGGGCGAGGGAACAAATTAGTACAACATGGCCACTATTAAACTGAAATGAGGGAACCAATTAACAGAAAGTGGTCACAAATAAATAAGTTATGAGAACAAATTACTAATTGGTGGCCATTTTATCTTTTTTTTCCCTGCATGTCATGTGCGAGGCTCCATAGTAAGAATAGTATACTAGTGTGCTGTTCCGGAAACACTTAACTTTACCTAGTAGCAAATAAATAATAAGTAAGAAGCCCCACACGTGAGATGTGGTGGAAAAAAACAAGAAATCTTATTTGTTTCCACAATTTATTAATTTGTTCCCTCATTTTATTTAAATTGTAACCAATTGTGGACATTTTTTAAGAAAAACTAGGGAATGACTATTAATCTTTGGTCGTTTTTTTCCCCTCCACATATAATGTGCAGGGCGCCGTAGCAAAAGTAGTAAGCTAGTATACTATTAAAAAAAAAATCAACTAAACTTAGCAAGTCACATTAGTTCTTGCACTTGCAATGTGTTGACCAAACATTAGCATCCACATACTTGCAAAGAATATGTTTCTGGCCTTAGGAGTTCAAATTGTGTTTTGTTTCACTACCATTGTAACAGTGTGTTTTGTATGCGTGTAAAAGAACGTTATCGCTAAGAAATACACCACATACACGCACATAATAACAAGCCATTCATACCCAAATATGTTGGTGGTCTTATTTTGGGTTGGGACTTGAACAATCTGTTACTGTTTTCAATCTGCCTAGAAAGCTTCAATATTTGTCTCTCAAAAGCATTTAGTTTTGTATCACTCTGGTGCATCGAGACTGTGAGAAAAAAGAAACATGACATTGTTTTCCTGTCACATTGATGTTTTCTTCTTACATGCAAATTTGGATTTTGTTACTTCAATATCAAGTTGCCTAAAATGTGGAGGTGTTACGTTTGTTCGGTGCTGTTGTATTTGTGGGCTGTTTCATACATATTTAAGCGTTTGATTTTGGTTCAAATTCTGTTGCATTTACTAAAACAATCAGCGTAAGCCATGTCTCTGACCTTGTGCACATGGACTTGGATACGTGTGTGTGCGTGCAGGTGTGCGTATGTCCGAAACACACGTGGACATCGTTCAAAGATGGACCGACACAGAGGGTGTACTGTTGCGTTCGGATCACAGAGGACACACGAGAAGACATAAACTCTCTCTGCTCACTATTCTCCCTTTTTAGGTCTCGTTTATCGAACATCTGGCCGCAGAAAGGTCCATCTTCTGTCTTTCACATCGAGCGGTTCTTTGTGCACTTGCTTTTGCCACGAACGCTGGGACCAGTATTCTGTACGCAGACACAAGCGGGGACGCACCACAAAGTGTGTATTTTTTAGAGAACGCTTCAGTTGTGTGTACGTGTTTCTCTGTGCCAATAGCCAGCGGGTGGCGGCCACTTTAAAGACCTCCATTCCTCTCCAGTTATGTGTTCAGACGTTTGTAAACCACCATGTTTGTGTGTGCGGTTTTCTTTTCCGTTTCCATCCCTCCATCATTCTCCCTCACGATCCCTCTCTTGTTTTCCCTCCTGCATACATGCCTTTAAAAGGGTTACACAACTAATACATTCCTTTGAAGAAATGTTGATTAAAAAACACACACACACAAAAAAAAAACTTTACAGTGCATTCTTGGAGTTTCTTTACTGTGTGTGTATTTAATTTTCAAATGCATTGAGTTTTGTGGACTTCCACTGAACGGGCAACTGAATGACATAGAGAAACCATTTAATGTTCTTTATTTTTCTTTCCACTCCATCATCAATCTCTTTTTCTTGGTATTTCATCTTCTCTAAAATAAACACTGGCTTTTACAGTCACCATCCATTGGCAGTTAAGAAATTAATGTTTTTTTTAAGTGCACAGAAATACCTTTTGTCATATTAGTTATTCAAGACTGTATCTCACGTTCTCTTTTATTGCTTTCCTTTAGATCTTTCTGTATGTTTTCCATAATGCCATTCAGTTGCCAAAGCAACCATTGCCTTTTGGCAACAATTTCATTTTTATGAAAACTCGCGAAATCTGGTACTGATTGTCCCCATGAGGTTTCCACACAGTTACAGGTGATGCAGAGGCGACGACCGTATTACTGGCCTGGGAATGCTTAAGTCATGCAACAATCCTCTCATTGGTGTAATGTGATTTAGGTGTGAAGGAGAAGGTTCTAGAACACATGGGAGAGAAAGAAAAACACTTAAAAAAATGTCCTTCTAGGCTTCTGCGGTCATCTTTATTGCGTAATCATTTTTCTCAAATGTGCTTGTACACGTTTAATGACCCAGAGGAACATTTTATTGCCCATGGCTTGCTCAGGGAATTTCTCAACTGTGTCTCAGATTTTTCTCCTACAGTTTCCTTGGTTAAAAATGAAACCTCAGTAAATTAGACAATTGTTGACGTACAGTCAATAGAGAGATATAATTCACGTGGATTGTGTAGATAATTAGGTTTTGCAAAAATTTAGTGATAAAATGTGTGATAAAATGAATGTGGATTGTATAGATAATTATGTTTGGTAAGATTTTAATAAGACATGTTTGAGGTCATAAAAGTTAAAGTAAAAAGTCTTTTTAATCTCCATTTAAAATCATTGCTGTCTCTGAGAATGTTTTTCTCCCCAGTTGAACTCATAGGACCTAAATTAAATATATGATTAACTTCAAAAAGTGCAACAAATACATCCAATCTGCATTCAAAAAGAAATTTTAAAAAGCCTTAAAACCCTTTTTAAGTACCCCAGAATTTTAAACCATTCATTAAAAGGTTATGAATTTTATAACATCTTCACATTATTTGGAAAAAAATATATTTTGTGATAAAATTGTGCAAGTGTTCAATTTTGATCGTATAAATATGATATATTTAGATAAATAATAGACATTTTATTACGTTTTATTCATTTAATGCATTGACATTTCATCATGAACCTGTGGCCTGCAGCTTGCCATCCACTTAAAAAAAAATTGGTTTGAAATGCCACCAAGACAAATTTTTAACCTATCTATCATATGTAATACATTTATATTTTATATTCCATATATTTCATCAATATGGATGTATGTTTTATGACTCTCAAAGCCGTGATTCCCATCCACTGACATAATATGACTGACAGACTGCAACGGTTTGACTTAAAAATCTCCGTTTGTGTTCTACTGAAGAAACAAAGTCACCTACATCTTGGATGCCCTGTGGGTAAGCAGATAAACATCAAATTTAGATTTTTGGGTGAACTATCCCTTTAAGCTGTCACTCTTCGCTTTGAGTCGAAGACTCGAAGTACAAGGATTTGACCTCGCAACAAAATCATTGCCCCATTAATGTGAGTAGAGTATTGTGGCATGAGATAAATGTTATGGCATAAGTCTTTTAACATTCTTTTAATAGTTAGTATAATAATTAAATAAATTAATGTTTGTATGTGTGTGTGTTTGTGTGTATAATAATTATTTGTAAAAAAAAAAAAATCATTTACAGATATTTACCATAATTTATGCTTTAAGTCTTTTTAATATACCATGAATACACACAAACTGCTTTCTTCCTGATCACAGCTGTGCTTTTCTGTGAACTAGAGGAGCACAGTTTCTGTTGTGTTATTAAAAAAGAAAGAAAAAACTCAAACTTGGCCTAGAGTGAAATCAATTAGGAGATAATCCTCTATAATCAGATTTGAACAGGTTTTGGCAGCAAGGCTAAAAATCCTAAAGACCGGCGCGATTGACTTGAATGTCGCCACAGGAGCCTTAAGACGGCGTTGCTATGGGGACCCTCCTGAAGGTCAGAGAGAGCGAGATATCGTTTCCTGACCGCCTGCAATTTGGCCATTTGAAAAGCTGGTCAGTCATCTGCATATGTGCAAAATGAGAGAGGGAGCGATAGAGAGAAACAAGAGGGAGAGGAGAATGAAGTACAGGCCACCTCCCCTGTGTTTCTTTTCTAAAGGCTGAGGTGAGGAAAGGTGAGGGCTGAAAGTCAAGTGTCTCACTCTCTTTCTGTCTCTGATTGCACCTGTAGG